TTTTGACCTCTTGCCACATTGGCCGTCACCACTCAGAGGCCCCGACCGCCAACCATTCTGACGCGGGAAGAAAAAGACGCGCTGAAATGCGCTGTCGTGGACGGGACAGCGTATCGGCATCCACATACTGGTTGCCAGGGGTACACATAGGCGGGCTGCCCCGAAATCTGAAGTGAGCCGCAGCTCCTCGAGCCTCCCCTGTCGGCAAGAGTCGACCAGGCACCAGCCTTGAGCCCGCGCCAGTTCCGCGGACACGAATGCTCACCTTCCGCCCTCATGGACGGATTGTCCCCGTTCTCCTCAGACACCGGCATCGTTTTGGGCATAATGGATCCCCGCAGCGCCGGTGCCCGCGCGCCGGCCCGGATTCAACGCCTCGCCCTTCGCCGCTGCTCCAACTTCAACTGCATTCCACCGTACGACCCGCCACAGGGTCGCCTGTTGCGGTGGCTTTGCGGCTTTGCACAGCCCGGTGCCGCTTTGCGCCATCCTGCGTGTTGCTTCGTCACTCATGAGTAAGTGCAGGCATTCGGTTGCGAGTGTCGTACGCGCATTTGCCCTCCCAGGTTGCCTGCCCGTTTCACCAACCACAGCCCGAGGTTGACCGCCAACCGCAGTAGACAACCGCGTGCTGCCACACTTAAGCTCAGCCACCTCCTCTTACTGCTGCCCTCCACTCCGCCCATCGACGGGAGGCCGATGGGTGCCCCCCTTCAACGCCTTTGCTGTCCTTATGCGCCTGCGGCCCACGGTAACGAAGATCGGCGTCCGGTGCTTTCCTGAGCCGCCCGCTCTGTTTCCTTTGCCTCAAAACAGAGCTCCGGATGTGCCCTGTGTCCCTATTTCCCTGCAAACGTTATGCTTGCATTCATCGGACACTCCTTTCAAAGCAAGTTGCACAAGGAAAATTGGGCTCCTTGGACCGTTATTTGTCTTGTGTGCTTGACAGGCACTGCTTGTCCGTTGAGAGTAATCGACTGTTCGGTACTCCGTATGCTGCCAGCGCTCGGCGCTGCACGGCAGCTCTGCATGTCCATCTCACGGTGACAGTTTTGCACCCCTCTGAACATCTTTGCACGTCGATTCCGTAGAAGCTCATGTTGTTGTGTTGCGGAACTGCTGGAAGCAATGGCCAGCACACGGCCCCCTGCCATGTTTCCTTCCAGGTTCTGAAATTGCTGCGAGGCTTTGTGCCACGTGGAGCTCAGCGTGCTGAGATCAGGCCACAGGCAGCCTGAAGCACCAAGCAGATATACTCCTGCTATTGGCACCGACCATGGCTCTGGATCAATGTCGATTGTGCCAGACGGCACAAAATGGCCACACACCAGCCTGCCCACACCTCGCGTGTGCTGAATTCAATTGCGTCCTATTCAGAGCGTGCTGATCTCCCGCCCCCATCGTGTTCCCTCTTGCCATATTCCTGGCCTTGTGCTGAATGCGGCAAAGGACTTGCAGCATGTGCACCGCCTGCCTCCCGCCTGGAGGGCTGTTAGAAAGGAGGCTGAAGGCAAACCTACAGTCATTAGAATGTCCAGGGCTTACCCACGGGAGGATGAATAGGGAAATGGACTCATCTTCTTTGGTAACTTTTCAGCTGCTGGTGATCAGCAACCAACGTCATTGCCACAAAAGGGGATGTGTCATGCAATTTCCACAGCCCAATTTCCCTTTCAGCAGATATTTCTGTTGGATCCTTGCTCAGCAGGCCTTTTCAGCTGCCATTCTCCATGGATTTGACATCAGATTGGTTGTTTCTTTCATGTCTGATGCTTCGCGCTTTTGTGGTTGCCATTGTTCTGATCTGCATGCATCATTATCCCATGTTGCTGTGCCATCACATTGCATACAATGGCCAGAGAATTGTAGTCATATGGAAGTTGACATATGAGACCATTGTCCCAATGGATAGTCCAAGTTCGTTCATCAACAACCCAGTGGTGGAATGCACCTGGTGCACATAACATGTCAACACTACACAGTGGTCACACTGTCTATTGTCACGTCAAAGGCTGCTGTTCAAGAACAGTCATGAGATAGTGTCAGATTCCAACAATCTATAGTAGCCACATACCACCATGATCTGACGGTGTCTTTCTGTCAAGACCTGCAACACCGTTGTTCGATCACATCTTCTTGGCAATTTCACATGCACTGGGTTGCAACACTAACCAGCTGCTCCACTAACCAGATCCAGGGATTCCCTGGCCAAGTCGCAACAATGTGAATGAGTTGCACATGATTGTCTGACCAAGTTTTCAAGCCAGTAATGTGTTCTCCCCACCAATCGCTGACTCTCGCTGCCCAGTGGTCCCAGTTGATCCAAGTGATCCCTTTCCATCGTGCACTTCATCGATGAGGCAGTGCACGCAAACATCAATGTGAACATGCAGCAGTCCGCACCATGCTTCCTGTGCCAACAGAGTGACAGAGCTTCTGGCCAAAATATGCGTGAGGGCAGCTGTATGGATGGTGAAAGCCTCATCCTGCGCGAATACACCATTTATGTTGAACCCTTCAGGGCATCGTTCAACAAGTTGACAATGAATGATCCTGCATTTAACCGGACATGGAGCGGAATAGGACATAAGTCTCGGTACCAACTAGACATCCAACAAAAAATAGCCTGCACTGCTGGTGCCGTTGATTGTGAGTTAAAAATATTCTGTATATTAGAGGCGTTGCGCTGGAGGTGCGAGTTTTTTATACACCATCGCACGTGTGCAAAGAGGCTTTGTGAGTGCAGAATACATTGAGGGGATGGCTTGCAAGCCAGCCCAACCACGCAAATAGAACAGGGGATCGGCTGGTCCATCACATTGTCAGGCTTCGCTTGCGGGCTTGTGCAGAACGTCCGGCACGAGCACGAATCTCAGCAGGCCAGGCTACGGCCTGTTAGTGAAGCGGGATGGCTTCGGTGGATTGTTCAACGCAATGCTTATTGACAACGCTGGCGTTGGAGCTGGGTGGCGTGGTTTTGGACAACGAGGATTGGGAGCGAGGATTGGTAGATGCAGTATCTGGAGGTATCTGGAGTTATTTGGATGCCCAGATATTCTGCTTGGTGCTGCACCTCGCCTCAGCCCACACCCGACGGCCTGCGTAGCGTCATGGACTGACAGCTCCTGTGGTGATGTGCGACCATCTGCAACCTCCCGTGAATTTCGTACCGCCGGTGTCACCATCGGAGGGTTGCTGCGTTTGCGTGTGCCTGGGAGCCCTCTGAGCCGCAACTGCTCACTCCGTGCTGTGCATTGGTGTACGGCATCACCGGGATCCGGTCTACAGCTGCCATCGGGGTCGCCCTCAAGGGCACCACCGGGAAGGTTGCATGGCACCGAAACACGTACGCCCGGTCGGGCTGGCGTGCGCAGCTCGGATTCGGCAAATCTTGAGCGCGCGTGCCCAACCCTGATTGTGTGAGATTGGTCCAATACTTACCGTGTACTTTGCCGATGCCGTCCTGCCGGGGGGGCGCTCATTTGCGGCCAGGAGAGGCCCCGGCACAGGGCCCGATGAACGGCCCGTGGCGCCCCGGCGCTCAGTCCGATGCCGGTCCTGGGGAGCAACCAGGGCCACACGTGCAGCACCCCATGCGGCATGACTAACCGGACGCCCACGGTCCTGAGTCACTGCTGACTCATCCCCGCCCGTTTTGAATTCGTCCGTCCTGGGCCCGCGCCGTTCCCTGACCCCCTCGCCCACGGTCTGCGGGAGCGGTGAGCGGAGCACCAGGCGCCCGCGGGTGCCCTCTCGCGGGGAGGCCACCAGCCCGAAAGGTGAGCGGCACGTGGCATGCTTCGCCAAAACTCCTCGCACCAGGATCAGCCCTGGGGCGCAATCCATTGTCTCGTGCTGTAAAACGTAAGATTGTAACGTGCAGGCGCGCGGGCCAGCGCCGTGCGCCGAGCGGGGCAGCGCGCGCGATCTTTTGCGGCACGGACGGCCGCGCTGTCGCGCCGCGAGTCGGCAGAGGGTGATGCCGAAGCAGGAGGGCTCCTCCAAGGTGCCAGGCGCTGCTCGCGCCTCGCCACCCTGCTGCGATGGTCGCGTTCGCTATCGCCACGTTCGCCTACCCCGCCCGAGCGGTGTGACCATCCAAAGAGCTTCGCCGCTGCGCCACGCGCAGCGGCGGGACACGCCCCGTCAGACGCGCAGGCGCAATGTGAAGCCATGGCCCCCGGTGTCGGTCCTGTTGGAGGTCAGCGAGCGCCACGGCTGCCCTCCCTCCTGCTTGACGGGCGCGCCTGGCTCGCCCGTTGATTTGAGAATGTCATTGAACTGGGTATGGCCGTGGGCTGGGGGCGGGCCGGAGACGGATGCCATCAAGGGGGCCGCATGCCAACGTGTCCCACCGTGCAGGTCGCGCGCGTAACCGTTGCACCCGGGTGGGCGAGAGCGGAGGCGGCGATGAGCGGGCCCTGGGTGCGCGCTCGATCGTGCATGGACGGTAGCGATGGTGCGAATCTAACCTCGGACGGCCGTTTCGCAGGGTGCCCAAGGATATGGATCGGATTTTGCAGGTGGGTGGACGCGCCATGGCTCGCGGGCCGTTTGACGGCATCAGTCTTGCGCGGCGCGTGGTGGTGCTGCCCCCTCTCGCGCGTCCGGTGCCTCCAATCTGCCTGGCATGATTTGCTGCCTGATCCTGCATTCTCCTGTCGGCCGCACTGCCGCCATCCTGCCCGTGACGCACCATTCCTGGCCGTGCAGGATTACATCTGCTCATTCCGAGTGCGTGAGCTTCAACAGTGCTTAGACGCCCTTGGCCTGAAGAAGCACGGCCTGAAGACGGAGCTGCAGCACCGCCTCCTTGATCTGATCAGGAGGCGCAACGGCATGTGAGTCCTGTGGGGCGCACACACTGCAACGCAAACCCCCGTCTGCTCCCGAATGCATGCCCCAAGATGATGCTCGAAACACGGCTAGAAAAGACACTATACAAGTCTGGGGCTGTGGCTGCCTGTGTTGCTAATGTCACTGTGCTGCGGGAATCGGTGTTTTGCCTTTGGGAGGTGTTCTGAGTGTTGTTGTTCATGTTCAGGGCGAGGCATGGAGGAGATCAGGCTGGTGAGCGTACGCTGGAGCCTTATGCCAAATTGTGCAAGGTGCACAATGGCTGCATGCCACATTTCAGGAGCAAATTTGTCTACCCTGCATGTCACATTGTAATTGTATTGGTATTCTGTGGACATCAGTTGCATATGGACTTTTGGCACTTCTCATATGCTGCATCAATTTTCTGCTGCAGTGCTCGGCGGTGATCTCACTCAATGGAAAGGAGCTTAGCAGTGGTTTGTGGACCTTGGCTGTCCCACGATGCATAGTTGTGATTGTTTGCATTTGGGCTCGAAGTCTTCCTGAAGCCATCTCCATCTGGACTGATATCCTGAGCGATGGTGCAGTGTGTGGTGCGCTGGTACCCTGCTTGCTATCACCCCAAGTTACCTGCTTGATGCGGTGTGTATAGGCCACAAACCACAAGAAAGAGCCACAGCAAGGAACATGACTGGCTGCCTGCAGTGCATTTTTTGAACTGGGATTGACGATGGCTTGTGTGCCACTGATTGCTGAGTGTTGTTAAATTTCCTTGCAGCCCGCATTATTACCGAAGTTTACTGTGGAATGAAAGGGCTGACAGGCCTGTCAGGCGCCATGGGTTTGAATGGCTTGGAAGATGAGAGGGAGCGAGATGTTGCCCAGACACTTATGGCCATGCCGGGCAGCAGAATTGATGCTCCCTCTGGATCGAGGCAACATGTCCAGTCCATACCCATGAATCCGTACACCTTGGCTCTTGGGATGAATGGAGGGAATCTGAACCGCCCACAAGCCCAGTGCTTTTGCAGCAGCAACATGTTCAAGGATGGGAGGATGGTGAAGTGTGCGGTGGGTATATTTGAACATCTGTGCCGGCACAAAATACATGCAACATGGACATTATGTCGCCCTTTGGTGTGAATGCCAAGGCGATTCTGGGCAATGTGACAAGGTGGGGGCAACTCGCTCCCTGTCTGCTGAGGGAGGAGGGAAGGGGCCTGGGACGACAGCAGGATCGTTGAATGGCTTCATGCTTGCACTGCAGGGCAAGGGCTGTGGAATTTGGCAGCACACAGACTGTGTTCTGCCCCCAGGGCCAATACCCCAGGAATTCCATTGTGCGAGGTGCCGGTGTGCACGGGCAGACCCATTCTGGGCAGACACTGGGGAAGACCTGGTGCCTCCAACGAAGTTGAAATTTACAGGAAGGAATGCCCAGGTGTGAGTCGTCATAGATATGGACTGTTTCCTCTCCCTTGGTGAGATTTGTATCTTAAATCTGTATCTTAAAAGCTGGAATTCCCCACTCTGCCCAGCTAATAAGCTGTTGTTTGCTTGAAGACGGCATGGCCTCGCCATGCACATGCTCTTACGATCAGCACCTCCTGTTGTAGACCATCTTTGTGGCATTGGCTGACCTGATTTGTGGCTGTCATTTTTGCTGCCAGGCGAATGGGGTTGTGCACGAAGTGCTTGTGGCCGAAAAAGTCTTCTTCCTAAAAACAGTGGATATCATGGAGAAGCTGCGCTGTAAGGATGGCTATCGTTTGCAGGTGTGAATTTTGTCTTTCTCCTGATGTGAACCTCAGACCGATTTGTTTGGTGTGGCAACATGTCAGCTGACACACTGGCATGACTGGGGTTTGAGGCTTCCATGCTGATACATAGATTTTTGCTCTGTTGTTCCCTTGCATGCCTGCCTCCTTTACCATGCCCTGTGTCGTTCTTGACTCGTGCTCCTATCTGGTTGCACAGGTCGTGAGCATCCTCCTGACTGATGACATTCCTCATCGATACCACTGGCCAAGGAATTGTACACTCAAAATCAACAACATGCAGTACAGGGTGTATGGCAGGAGCCCCAATAACTGCCTTGGTAACAACCAGAGAGATGAGCCTGCCAATGTTGGTGAGTGCTGCCAATAAAGTCATTTGCACAAGCACATTTTGCTCGTGGCACTGCAGCAAGAAGCATGTTTCTGTTTGTTAGATGATATCTGGAAAGAACAATCCTCAGCATAGTGATGTGCACATCCGACTATATTTGTCTTAAAGTCACAATCCCCAGCTGTTGCTCCTGCAAGGCATGCAGGAGTGCACATGTGTGTTTTTAAAAATTTGATCACTGCAAGTTCGAAGGCCAGGCAATAGTGGTGCGTTCAGCCCACCTCCAAGAACAAGACCAGACAGGGACAGGGTTTGCAGAAAGGATTGTGGCGAATCTGCTCGCAGACAGCAAGACTGACCGATTGAATGCGCTGCGCATGTGGACGCACCTGGTACTTAGGGCAATTTGCAGTTCAGCTGTTACCCTCAAACGGCTTGCACACATGAACAAGCAATAAATCGAAGCACTTCAACAGATCGATAGGGGCCTGGCAATTGACATGGCGCCCTCTTTTCTGGTGGCAGGCATGCTTTGCCGGAATGGCAGAAACAATGTGTCCATCACCTGCACAGACGCACGGCCCTTCTGCTTCTTCGTCCAGATCGTCGAGAAACGGTCAAAGGAGCGGGTGGAGAGCTTGATGCATGCAGCTGAGACGCTCGAGGAAGCCCATGCGCGGGTGGTGCGGCAGGTCAAGAAGGGCTCCATGGAGGACGATGACAACCTGGTGGTCACCAGCTCTGTTGTGGTGTCCCTCAAGTGCCCGCTGTCAGCCCTGAGGATCGTGACACCCGCCAGGTTCTGCGATGTGGACCAGGTCGAGGCGATCTTTGATCTGGACAGCTTCCTGAGCGTGGCAGAGAGAACGCGGAAGTGGGCATGCCCGCAGACCATGAAGGGCTCCTGCGTGCAGCGCCTGCAGCGCGATGTGTACATGGACAAGGTGCTGCAGTGCCTGAAAATGGCACCTGACGTGTCTGAGGTGGAGGTGTCGCCAGAGGGGAAGTGGAGGCCGGCGGCCAGTGACCACCGGTGGCGGAGCATTTTTGACGACGTGGCTGACGCTGCAGTGGTGACTGCAGCAGCTGCCAAGGAGGAAGACTCCTACTGGTGGGTGGCTGTTGTTGCCAGGTTACAGGAAGGTGCAACATTGTGGAGTGCTAAGTCTCAATCCTATTCACATATGCCCCAGGTGTAAATAATATCTGAACTTGTTCCCAACCCAGACCAACCTGCAAGCCTGAGAAGCCACAGTCACCCTTGAGGCCCAGAATCCCTGGATCCCTAACAGTATGTTGTGCTGTGCCTTTTCCACCCCACCTGCAGTCAGCTGTGCCGAATTGTGGGCACACATTCACTGCAGTACATCCAGTCCTAGTGGCGGTGAGTTATGTGAAGTGTGTGCATCGTGTTGTGAAGAATCCCTATCAGTGCTTGTTGTAACCGAGCAATCCAGGTCCACAGGACGAAAGGGGCAGGGTTCAGTTGTGATAATCTTTCAGCTGTTGTCCGTTCCAGGTGGCTCAACAATTCAATGGCACGCCAATGGCAAATACATGCCAATAATGTCCATGTCCAACATGTCCAACGTGTCCAACATGTCCAACTGCCAACAAGGTGCAAAGACGGCTCCTGCACAGGAGGTCAAGTAAAGTCATTCGTTGGGGTGACTTGTCAGAATGAAATGGAGGGGCCTAACTCTAGCAGTGCCAAAACCCTGCCAAAGTGCCATTTGTGGGCGAATGTAGACAGCAGACTATATATCTGTTTCGCTACTGACATGACGTCAGTTTCTTGGTGCCCTTTCTAGGGAGGAAAGTGAGGATGAGATGGAGGAACTGCAGAGGGCTGCCCAGGCTGTGAGGGCCTCCACCAGGAATGCAGGCAGCGGTGATGAAATAATCAACCTGCTGTCAGATTCTGAAGACGAGGGTCCATCGGGCCTGGTAGCAGCGCCCCAGGTGTCTGTGGATAGTGTGGCTGCGGCGCACAAACTCTCTGTGGAAAGGCTTGTGTCCAACTCACACGCTGGCCCAAGGATAGCGGTCCAGCATCCCAGCAGAGCCTTGAGGATACAGATTCCCCCAAGGAGGCCCTGTGCCAGGGTGCCACAGGTATGGTGATGTGCATTCTGTTCCAAGTCAGCAGGGCATGTCATGCGATGTGGGCCTACGGATTGGCCCCTGCTGAAAGACAGTGATAATACAGTATCGTGTTCTGACAGCATTGGAGACCGATGCTGCTTCTGGAGTGTTTGGAACAACGCCAAGTCACATGCGATGCTGCGCTTGCCTGCGGCCAGCTGTATGCAGTAGCAAATTCAGTGTGCCCTGCAGGATTAGGCAGTGCTGAATCCCTGCGCACGTGTTGGATCACCATTTCTGTTCAAGACTGGGTCACCCCTCTTGATTTGAGCCAGCACATACGGATTGTGGCGTCCACTTGGTCCTGTAAGTTCTTTGAAGATGGTCGTAAGCCTATTATTTGGCTGGATAGTTGGTGCCCTGGTAACCTTAGCCCGGATGCTGTGCCATCTCGTTAACTTGCATCTTTCAGCAAAGTGCTTGCAGCACCAGCACCGTCAAAATCGCAGGATTGTCAAACAACATATGGCAGGGATGGTTTGACAGTGTCTGCCTTGTTCCAGATTGCCTGTGTTGTTGCATTGCAGATGCACAACGAGCACTTGCAGCAACAGCCACTACAGCAGCGGCCTCATCAACAAGCAACACTAAGCTTCGCACCAGGTGGCATCCAACAGGCATTGCCTCCTGACATATTGACGTCCCTGCAAACAGCAGGATACGTGCCACAGGAACTGTCCGATCGCCCCAGCCAGTCGGCATCAACCTCGCAGGGTCCGTTAGGCCAACACTTCATCGCCATCCCACAAAATGGCTTCTTGGGGAGGCAAATGCAGTGGCCACTGCCGTTGGGCAATCCACCCGTGACTGCTCAGCAGCAAGGGCCACAGAGTAGAATGGGCGAAGGTTTAATGCAGTCAGGTCAGCAGAATGGGAGCATGTGCGTGAATGAGATGCTTCAATTGGTGGCAAATGCCGGAATGCAGGAGGACAGGAAGGCGAACGGCCGCACACAATTGGGAATGGGGAGCCGCGAAGGGAATGAGGGGAATGGGATGGCCATGGGTGCATTCGAAGCAGCTGCGGCGAGTGCCCGGCGTTCCAGCTTCCAGTGTGTGCCGTTTTACCAAGGGGAGGCGCAGTCGCCTGAGCAGTACGATAACAACATGGAGGTCATTGAGCTCGATTCAGATTGACTTACCAAGGCATCGTGGGCATAATTGTTGGCATGCAGGTGGCATGATGGGCAGGTCCGACGCAGTCAATAGGTGTCAGACAGACCAGTTGCTTCAGTGTTAACAGGCGTGACGAGTAGTGCAGTGTAGGTGGGTGTGAAATAAGGAATGGACTTGTAAATGGACTACTATGATATACACACGTCCACCCACCCTGCACAGTCGTGGGCGTCATATCTGCATCGTCCACCTTTGTGCACACGTCAGGCGGCAACCACCTTCAGACTGTCGCATGGCTGCGGGTGGAACAGTGCGACTGCAATTGTCGCACACAACACAACAATGTCCTTGCAGCGAATGTGTAGATGACGGGTGCACAACACCGCTGCAATGGTTGCTCCCTCCCAGCCATCAGTTGCCCACTCCAAGGGAACAGGATAAATGAGGCATCAGTTGACCTGAACATGTGACCATTTATGCGCCATCCATTCGCCGTCGGTGACAGCACACGAGCTCCGCGGATGCGATCCATTTTGGTCTGTGGCAATGGCATGAAATAATATTACTGCTTGCACCAAATCGGTGACTGCTTGCACCAAATCACGTGCACACTATGTCCTAACCTCAGTTTCGGTTTTAGGTTTAGGGTTAGGGTGAGTTTAGGGTTAGGGTAGATTTAGGTTTACGTTTACGTTTTACGTTTACGTTTTAGGCTTCAGGGCTAAGGTTGGGTTCGTTTTGGAGGGATTTGGTGCAAGCCGTCACCGATTTGGTGCAGCCAGTAATTGATTGCCAAACGGCCCAGGCCATGGTGCGCTGTGCAACTGGCTTTGCCACTAACATCGGCCAAGAGGCGGCCGAGTTGTGTTTGCCATGAGCCTCGCCGGGACTTGTAGCGTTCGGCGGCGGTGAGCCCGTAGGCACTGCCGATGCTTTGAATCCACAGCGGCGCTGGGCCAACGAATCCCAAGTTTGCACAGCATGGCGGTGCCAAAGGCTGCCTCTTGGCGGAGACTGGCCAGGCAACGGCACTGCTCAGCGCTCAGCAAGCAAAATTTTGGTGAGGTTGCCCCGCCAAACTGCAGCAATCGCTGCGCAGGGCGAGAAGGTCGGCAGCGGAGTGAGCGAGCCCACCGCGCACACGCCTCTCAGAAACCGCAGCGCTGGCCGCGAGCACATCACGCACGGCGTTCGCCTCTCAAATCCGCGACCCGGCAGTAGCCACCCCGCGCTTGGGTGGGCAAAATTCCTTGGATTGGACAAAATGGACAAAATGTGGCCAGCTACCCCAACGGGGATCCCGTAGTTTACAAGCCCCCCAGGGCCGCCGCTCCGCGGCCCATTCGCGTCACCCGCGCGCCCACCACCCGCCCAAAACGGGCGCGCCCGAACAGGGGACCGCGCCGTGGCGAGGCACCCCAGTTCGCCATGCCCCTGACAAGAGAGCAGCCCACCTCGGACCTCGGGCCGCCGGGGGGCATGGCCCCCAGGCGGGCCCTGCCCCGCGCCCGCCGCTTCGCACCCTACGCCCTCCCGAGGGCCAAGTCGATGGCATCCGGCCCCGGCCCTCTGGGCGCGATCTTCAATTACGCGTCCCGGCTGTTCCGCACGACGCGGGACCAGGCGGTGCAGACCGAGGGTGCTGGCGGGAATGGCGATGATTTGGACGCCAGCGCGGGTGCCGCCGTGTCGAGGTTGCATTCGTGGCGGTTCACGCGGCCAGGGGCGATGCGACTGAAGGGGGGGGATCGCGATATCGAGGCCCGCTTGGCGGTGCGTTCGGCCGGCTTTGGGGGCGGATGGGGATCGGAGAGCGGTGCCAGGGCGCCGAGGAAGCGGCTTGCCGCGGCAAGGGATGCGGAATGGGATGCGGATGCCAGTGCGCGAGAGCGGCTGTACAGGTCGCTGCGGCGAATGGCAACGCCCGCGGCTTCGGCTGACTTGATCGGCGGAAGATGGATGGATGGTGGGGTGGATCGCTGGTCGATGCCTTTGAGTTTTGGAGTGAAGGATTGCGACAGCGTGAGGGCCAGGGGTGAGCGGGTTAGTCCGGCGCTGCGCTGGCCGCTGCGTGCATCGAGGCATGCGGCCTGCGGGCGGAAGAGGCGGGTTGAAGGAGAGGGACTTGAAGGGGGGAAGAGGCTGTGCATGCGGGAGGAGGCGATGGTGGCGGCACGGGACGATTGGGGGATGTCTGTGCTGGGCGGGGTTCAAGGGAGTGTGGAGGAAGGCCGGGGGCGGACTCCGAGCGCACATGGCCTGGCTGTTGGTGAGGGGGGGTGTGGAGGGGCGGCGGGGGTGAGGACCGGGGAAAGGGGGGAAGGGATGGGAGGGACGGGGCCGGTGGGAGGAAAGGAAGGGAGGGGGACGGACGGGGGCGGTGGCGGTGGGACTGTCGCGCAGAAAGAAAAGTCGGCGGAGGAGGGTGGCGCGGGGTTCGTGAAGGCGCCAACTGATGGGGAGCCGGTCGAGGGGCCGAGAGAGGCGGCGAGTCAGGACAAAGCAAGCATGGAGAGCTCCAGCTTCAGCTTCGAGCCCATTGTGCAGCCCGGCGCGTTCCCCGTCGGCAGGGATGCCTTATCGCCTCAGGCCGATGGCGGGGACGGGGGCTTCGCGTTTTCCATCTTCGGAAAGGCTTCCGGGGCTGGAACCCTCGGTCCTGCCCCTGCTCTTCGAGTTGATGGCGGTGACAGGGACCCACCCGTGGGGGTGCAAGAAGTTGAGGAAATGGCGATCATGCCTGCTGGGGCTGTTGCGAATCCCTCATTTGCACCCCAGGAGGACAAGAGCGATGGCCAAGTTAATGCTGTGGGGTCGCCCAAGTCTGGGACAATGCCAGCAGATACTAACTTCTGTTTTCAAGCCAGGCCAGTGGCCATGGACGCCGCGGAGAAGGTGGTGAGCCAAGAGGTGGTGGAGGCCGAGGTCAAACCTGCGGCGTCGTCTGGTGGATGGGACCCTGTGTTTCTGCAGGCAAATCAGGCCGCTGCTGATAGGACAAGGGAGGCAGCCCTGGAATTGATTAGGCAGACAGCAGCAACGGCTTCTAAAGCAGCTGCGGCCGTAGAGCCAGCCCCAGCAGTGGGGTCCAAGGAATCTTCGGAGGCAGAGGGCACACAAGACAGCACAGCAGAGGCCACTGAAGAATTCACTGATTCCGGGACTGCTGAAGGAGAAGAGGAGGATGACAACAGGGCAACCTCAAGGGACTCAGAGAGTGGAGCAAGGGGACAGATTGATGACAGCAGGGAAACGACAAGAACACCTGATAGCACAGATATGGTACAGAAAGGTGGCAGTCGGGAAACCTCAAGGACTCTGGAGAGCGGGGAAGAGGAAGACATTGATGAGAGTGGAGGGACCTTAAGGACCACTGGGAGAATTGAGGGGGAAGTGGAAGATGGCCGTCAGGAAGTCTCGGCGACCCCGACTCCCTTATTTCCTGTACCTAGCTTGCTGAAACCTACTTTTCAACTTGGATTTGGGTCTCCTGTGACTACATCGCCCCCTCAGCTAACCCCCGCACTTAGACGAAGGAATGTGCTACCGTTCAGCTTCCAATTGCCTTCATGCGGCAGTCCAGCAGAAACAGTAGAGCCTCCAAAGGGGATGATTGCCGATAAAGTCCTTCCTGCACCAGCCCCTGCGGCTCAGCCGATGTCTGCACCCATGTTTGGCATCAGCACACAGTCTGACCTGAAAGACAGTTCTTCAAGCATTTTGGGGGGCCTGGCCAAGGCATCGGCAACAGAGGTGTTTAATTTTGGAGCAATGCCAGGCTCAAGTGCAGATCCTGCACCCCAGGTGAAAAAGGGTGACGTGGGAACTGCTTCCGGAAACCTGTTCGGGCTTCCCCCTCCAGCATCCTCTTCACCGTGTCAATCCCAGGCTGACTCAGCTCCTGAGCCCTTCTCGTTCGGAGGGGGCTCACTGGGTTTTCAATCTCAGGGATCGCAATCTCAGGCTGAAGCCAATGCATCATTCATTCTCACTCAATGCGAAGAGCCAGCCGCTGTGAAGGGGCAGACTCCAGCCTTTGGGGCTGTGGCACCGCTTTTTGATGCAGGACCTGCTGCGCCAACAGCACTTGGCAGTGTAGCCCCTGATGTGATGGATGCCAGGCCAGACAACGACTTGGCAGGGGGTCCCACCTCTGCCACTTTTGTCTTCAACTCCATGACAGCTCCATCATCTTCAGCTGCCCCATTCGCTGCAAATGCATCGGATCCGATGGCGACAGAGGATCCTGAAGTCGGTGGCCAGGACTCCACATCAGGGCAGGCTAGTGCAGTGCCCAGCCTGGCAGCAGCCTCTGGCACAAGTAACGCCACCAATCCAATACCCTTGTTTGGTCAAGCCCCTTTGTTTGGTGGATCGCAGCTGGGCACATCGTTTGGGCCAGCCTTCGGGTCGACCGTGGGTGGGTTTGCGACTGGCGCTACAGGGTTCACAGGATTTCATGCAGTCCCACCTGCTGGTAGCCCAGCCAGTCAGCCTGTCTTTGGCACCTTTGGATCGGCACAGCAGGGCACAGGCTTGGGGACCACAACCTTTGCTGGATTGGGGGCTAGCACAGGAGCTGTGGGTAGCTCCAGTGCACCTGTCTTCCAGTTTGGCAACCAGCTCTCCAATTCTGGCAGTCAACCTGCCGGCATCCAATCCTTGCAGCAGGGGTTTGTGTTTGGTTCGTCTCAGTCAGGTGGCAGTCAGCCCCTCGTGAATTTCAGCGTCAACCAAGGGCCTCCAGTCTTTGGATCGCCGTCTCTGCAGTCCCGGCAAGGGAGCTCCCAAAACAACCCCTTCTCCCTGGGTCAGGACCCAGATCCGTCCAATGGCAGTGCCAGTGGGGCCCGCAGGCGAATGAGAATCAAGAGGAGCAGACGGCCGTAGTCGTGCATGTGGCGTTTGTGGGGTTGGGTGGTGTCGTTTATGGGAAGGGGCATTGAAGTCTGTCTTGGTGTGTGTCAGTTCAAGTCAGTGCCGTTCTGAGTGACACGTGTGGTCCAAGTTGTGCGAGGCTTCCAGGAACAGTGTTTGTTCTCACAAACGTGGCGAACTCGTCTTCAGTTGTTGGGTGAATGCTGTGCAGTGTTCATGGGTACCTGAATGTCAAATTGTGAGTGAAAATCGTGTGTTGTACGTCCATTTTCTTGTTGTGTGTCCCCCAGTTGTGCTGCATTGGGTTGTAGTTTGCTGGGCCCCTTGCCGCGACGAACGCCTCGTTTGCTTGTGTGGAATGAGCTGCAGGGCATGTCCTCACAGCGCGACTGAACAGCCTGTGCTCGACAACAGCATCAATGCCTGCGCTTGAGAGCAAAGGGACTGTGCAGCTGATGTGTTTCAACAGGCAGCTTCCATAGGGGTTCCACGTTCACGCACTCGCAAGGCTGCTGGGCTCGTTCCAGCGACGTTGCACATGGTGGGTATTCAACAGGGTGTAGTAGCTCCTGTTTGCTACCGTGCAATGCCAGTGTTTGTAAGTTTACTTTCATTGCAGACCTCACTGTTGCTTTGTGACCGAGTGCAGTCTCTGAGTCCACATCGAGGCAGGACAGAAAGAAAGCGTGTCCATGCAGATAGTTGCTTGCCTCCTTGCGGTGACCAATCGGTCTGCACATGCCGAAATGGGCACCGTTGGCTGGCAAGGTGCGACCGCCTGCTGCTCCACTGGCAAGTACCGGCGTCTCAAGAATGAAACTGAATCGTCCCCATCAGTGGAGCACATCATCTGGGTGCTGTTCCCGCTCTTTTGTGCCAGGTTGGACAGCAGCTATAGCTGCGTGGTCCCGTATTGTGCCTGGTCTAAGGTGATGAGAATCCTCAAAGGCTTTGTCACCTTGCAAATCGGCGTGAACAGATGACCACAGTGGTGTTGCACATAGGATCTAATTGGTATAACTTGCCGATGCACTGTCGCTTTACAGACATCAAAATTGCCCTGGGGTACTTCCGAACACAGTTCGGCTCAGCCAAGAGCTTTTCGAGGCTCACTGGGATAGTGGGCAATGTCCACTGTATGAACTGGTGAATCGATGCCTAGCAATTTGCAGGTTGTCGGTGCCGTTGCTGCAGTGATACGCCTCCGTCACGGAGTTGGGTGAGAGCCCCCCCTTCTGGTTACAGTTGCGATGCTGCAGAGCCTCCTTGTTCACCACAGCAACCATGGTCTGACTGCTTGGCGTGAGCTGCTTTGGGGAAATCGGCGACGCTGCATGATCAAATTTTGTTGCACGCGGGCCCCGCCTGGCATGTTTTTGAGTCTTCTAGGGCCATCTGAGCTGTGTGCAGCGTTGCCGCTGGTTCGAACATCCTTTGCCCCCAGATTTTCTGGAGAACTTGTGCCAGGCGCCTTCTTGGACCAGGAAAGGCATGCTCCTTGGTTACCTTCGGCAGCGCCTCCGGGGGAGATATCACCCTGTCGTGGGGATGTGGACTGCATTCCTCCGCACCGACGGGGCTTGACACAGGGAAAGTTGAAAACGTGCACATGTCCCAAGACACTCGTTGGCAAAGAGACTGACGCGTCCTATAGGCTTGCTCTTCGATCGGCGACACTGTACCTGCGTCGACGCAGCGCAAACTCTGGGCGCGATGGGTGGGACTTTCTCGAGAAGGCACCCAAAAAAGTTGTACCAAGTCTGGGCGCAGCAGCGGATGGACTGAGCGCCTTGGCCTGGCACAGATGTGGAAAGATGAAGATCTCTGATGTCTGAGAGCAAATGATGCGTTGGAACGAGTGGATGTCGGTAATGGCATGCGAACCAGATTCGCTTGGACGCTGATGATGTACGGTGAAAAGCACTGGCCTCCTTGGAACCTGTACAGTAACTGGGCTCTTCTTGTGCGCTTAATCGGTGGCCTGTCAGGGCGCACTCGAAATGCAACCGAAGAAAGTGTGCCTTACAATTGCTGGCGTATCACAACGATGGCCCGCTGTGTTGTCAATTGTCGCCCTTGTTGCCTGGCAGTTTGTGTATGCATTGCTACTCTGCTTGGTAATCGATCCACGTACCCACAATGTGCGACAGTTTGCTCCCCGCCAGTGCGTCTGGCGGCAGATGCCAGAATTCCAGTTTCGGCTGCGTTTCGACCAACAGGTGATAAAGATCAAGAAATCAACACAATGTCCACCACGGGGCTGCACCTGTCAGTACGCGTTGCACATTGCAAAAGCATTACATCCTGGCAAGCGCAGCCCAACCGCTACTTGACATCTCACAGTGGCACTGGCAGTCTCACCATTTTCCAGTTCAATATGTCAATCAAGAAGTCAAGAAATATTGCATGTGAAGGCCAGGCAGTGCCTGTTATCTTCTTTCGTTCAAGGCAAGCAGTGTCGGTGATTTGTTCAATGGCACACAAAGGTACTTCCAGAAGCTAGTCATTTCTAATTTCCCATGGTCAAATGATGTCATTTGACGTCAGCTCCTGGAAAGTCCATCCTCATGGTGTTGCTGTCGGTCTGCAGCTCGGACAAGGGCCGACAGTCTGTTGGGTATGGCAGCACCAGAAGCCATGCACTGCATTTCGGCAGCCTGCTTTGGTTCCCTCGTACACTCCCATCTCATCCGGAAAGCAGTCGGATTGCCGACAGTCACAAGGAGATGACAACTGACACTGGAGGCACATGGAGAACTTGTCGGGCACATCGGCGCTCAGCTGGCATCCCATGCAGTGAAAACTGGCGCTGGCTGCTGCCGCATTTCCATAACATGCGCCGTTGGTGGATTGAAGTTGCAACACTGATGATCACCAGGTGGGTCACGGTGTGCGCTCTCGTCACATTGACTCCTGCCCTAATCCATTGGCCGCATCTGTCAAAAGAAGGCGGCCCTTGGGCTCGTAATCTGGAGGTGTTGGGGAATAGTAGAGACGGGCTGCAGGACCTTTGACCGAGGGCCACCACCTATACACCCACCTCATGACAGTCGAAGCACTCTCCAACCAGACAAACAGATCTCCATCCGTTCCTTTGCTTGGGGGCATTTTGATTGTGAGCAGGTTGACTAATTTCAGGCATCAACTTGTGACAAGTCGTCGCCCTTTTGCCTACGTGGCAATGTCTGGCATATGTCGTAAATTAGCAAAATGGAGGCCGCGCCTGGTAAAGCTCTTCCGAGGAGCCCATAAATTGGCAGCCAGGGTGTTGGTGCGTCAGGTAAAGGAATCGCGGGCTTTCCTTGGCTCCTTGGGATGTGGGCCGTGAAGCAGACTTGCAGACACGTATGCTATAGGTGACGTGCAAACCGGCAGCGCAGTGTGGACTCCTTGAGTTTCCTGTGTACGATTCGCTGTGTATTTTGCTGTCAAAGTTGGAGTGCATTGTCTGTTTCAACTGCTTTCGTGGAGCGGCATTTGAAGCTCTTTGGGGTGCTGTCGTGGGCCCCATGCAGTAGCCCTGAATGAATCCCGTCTGCATATCTTGCGAAGAAAACGTACACTTGACTGAGCTGCAAATCCAATTGGAGTTTGGATGGCGAAACGCGTTCTCTGGCAAGAGACTGGCTTGAATCCCCCAGAGAGCAACGCCCGTTGGTGTTTCTGTTGGGAAGATGGAAGGGTTGCCGTTCCTCTTTGCTCTGTGCATGGGGTTGATTGTTGCTAAAGTGCCGAGATTTTTGTCCTGTTTACGCCTAAGTCAAGGGCACCACTAGTCTGTTGGGGAGAGGAATCCAACAGCATGCTGTGCACCAAAGAGCATTCGAATTTCAACAATCAGGGAGCAGCAAATTAATTGCTGAAAATCCAGGGAAAGTGCTAACAACATAAATTAGAAGCCCCGCAAAGCAGTGGGCAAATGTGGCAAATGGCATCAACACGATAGCCCCCGGCTCCCAGGCATCCTATCAGCGGTGTATTCTGTTTTTCTGAGTCCCAAGATCACTGGTAGTTTGTGCACCCCATGTCCGAAACCCGACCCACCCCACAACGAGAAAAGATCGCGGGCGACAAATCTTAAAACGTGAACGCAAAATTAAACGTCGACTTTCGCGCACCGTCGAGTGCGCGAAAAATAAATGCTTGCAAACATTTCGTGCCATGAAACAAGCGAAATTTAATCCCTCGCAGCTGTTGCGTTCTGCAGCAGTTTCAGCGTCGGCAGGGCCACACAGGGCCAGTACTGTAAAATATTAAACCCTTCCGCATAGTAACGTATCGCTTGGTGTTTTTTTGCGGAGAAAATAATATAAATAGCGACGCAATTCTCGGCCTTTCTGTGCGGAGCAACGTAAAAAATAGAAGTAACGATCTGAAAAACAAAATGCGGAGCAAAAAGCATAACGGTGAGGTTTCCTGATGCGGAAGGGTTTAATATTTAAAAGTAGTACTCTGACTCAGTACCAATGCTGTCGCAGGCGACCCTTCACGGTGCAGGAGGTGTGCCGGCTTGGCGCCCCACGCGACCATGGCACTCTCAACTTTCGCCCGAGACGTTTTCGGCATCCTGGCCAGGCGGAGTCTCCCTGGCCCCTTGCACCTTGGCGGCGGGACGTGCTGCCGTGCCGCCGCGGCTGCACTCCAGCGATGCGGAATCGAAAATTTCAGGTGGGTGTCAGCTGTGTCGTACGGCAGTGCACGCCGCCTCCCCGCTGTGTGTTCGCTTCTCCCTCGCGGGCCCTTTCCGGACGTTGGATTACGTCTCCCGAAGGGCAGGGATGCACCACGAAGCGGCGAGGCCGTCGATTGCGCGGCTCGTCGACGGCCGGTCGTGTTGATGGGAGCGGCGGAGGGGAAGGAATTCAAGGGACCTTGGAAAGCCGTTGCGGTCTATCAATTGACACATGACGACCAACGCGACCAGGAAGAACACGGGCGCGAAGAATCGGCCTGTGTTTGGGAATCCATGGACCTGGTTTTGCCTTGTCTTTGGAGCGGATTGCAGTCTCTGGGACGGTGGCCGCGCACAGTTGTTCATTGGAATTGGAACGATTTCAGACTTGCGTACACAGCAGGCAAGTCCTGGCTACAGAACATGGCACGTTTGTGGTGGGAATCGCCGCCCACAACGAGAAGAAAATTCTGTTGTGCAACGACCCATTGGTGGATGGCCCAGGACAGTTTCAACGACTGATTTCCTGGAGCGCCATTCCTTTCCTTCTAAGTGTGCCTTATGTCCTAGACCACCTTCTTTGCGTGCTGCGAACAACTGGGAAACGGAAAAATAAACAGACGGAGGACAGAAAACCGTTCTGGATTTGTACCTCCCTGTCACAGGTTCCCACCCTGTCAATTAATGGCAAATTGAAACCAGGGAAACTATCTTGAAGAATATGTCCATATGATGGTTCTTGTTGACTTTGTTGCACTGTGATTGGCTCAGAGAGTCATGAATGTTGCATTTCATCACTATTGTGTGGTTTGATAGCAAGAACATATTTGGTAACACTGTCACAGCGAAACTGCGGTGCACTTTGCTTTGTGTGGTAATCAACGAAAGAAAGGTTGGGCATCAGCCTCACAAGATAATAGGCAGATCGTGAGACAGAGGCCACGGTGGAACAAGCACAGATGGACCTTGTTGTACAGCTCTGTGGCATCTTGATGATGCTTGTGAGGTTTCCCATGCTGCACCTGGAGCCTGGCAAAGGAAACATCGCATGGAGGGTCAAAAGGCGAATGCACAGCAAGCGGGATGCTATTGCAACTTCCAGGCCACCTTCCCTGATAGTCCTTGCGATGCCCCATTTTCTTCATCTGCCTGCAGTATCACATGCTGCCTGTGGTCCCACCACTTTGCCGACAATGCTGTGTTCCTGGATGCACTTCGACATTTGTGTGTGCTATTGTCGTGTTCTTCCCACATGACAGAGCTGGGTGTTCTGTTATGGGCAGAAGCTTGTAGACGATGCATGCCAAATGAATGCTGCCGTCCAGTGTTGACCTCTGTTCAGTGGGTGATGAAGTGCACAGGGGAAATGGGGATGAACCTTGCCAACTAGCCTTGTGTGTGTCCCTATGTCCAGTGTTGCCTACAGTGAGAGCTCTGAACGCTGTCATCCCTCTTGCCACCCACATGCAATGTGGTGGAGTCCATTCAGATACTGGCAACCCCATTTAACACAGAAAGCACTCTCCCACAACAACAGTTCTCAAGCCCAGAATGGGCATCTCCATTACAACATCGGCCCTCCTTCATGCAGTACATCATGCAAGCACTGTCGCCATCCCCTGCACAAACGCAACCTCGCTGACTTTTGTGGCTGGCTACACAGTGCTGCAGCACCTCAAGCGATGCAAGTCGCGGAGATACCAGTCGCCCGGGGCACTTCGCCCGTGCCTGCCCCGACCACAGACGCTCCTGTGCATAAAGGTCAGCATGATTTCTCCGCACTGCCGCCAGACATCCACCCGTTCACTGTCCGGGGCGACAGCAAGGCGCCTAAGGTGGCAGGCTCCATGGCTTTCTACTTGAGACAAGACAAGAAGCTCTTGGTGCTGGCCACGGGCACCAGCGCAGTGTACACGGCTGTGAAAGCTCTGTGCTTAGCGCGTCAGTATGTGCTGGAGGACCCAAAGTGCGAGCTCTTCTTTCGTGTCACGCACCGGAAGCATGTGGACTGTGATCGGGTGTCTCAGCTAACCTTCGCTGTGGAGAAGAGGATGCCACTGTATCCGTTGGACGAGATCCCTCACGAGGTGATCCGCGCAACTCCTTCCACCAAAGGCAGGTCCCTGGGCGCCCAGATTGCGTCCATAGCCCAGAACAACAAGCTCCCCGTCGTCAGGGCCATCGGGCCAAGGGCAGTGGGGACGGCTGTCGTGGCCGCCACCTGGGGTCGCAGGTTCATGAAAAGAGACGGCCTGGACGTTATCTGTTTCCCAGCATTCAAGAAGATAACCGTTGGGCAGGAAGGGGAGTTGACGTCACTAGAGTTTCTGTACAGACCCGTGGAGTACGTGCCTGTGGAGCACTTCGACGTCGGGGTGGGCATTGATGGAGATTGTGAGAATGGCAGCACTGGCACTGACGTCCCTGGCAGGCTCACTGTGAGCCTGGGCCCTGAGGCTCCACCCCCTGAAGAGTCTGACGATGAGGCAACAGCTTCACCAGAGCCAAGCCTGGACTCAGCACGTTCGGAAGAGCTGAGGACGGAGGGATCCACGTCAGGAGAGTCGAGCTCAGAGGCAGGATCTTTAAAATAGTTGGGGCAGGAAATGACGCACTACACAGTGAAAGAGAGAATTGCAAGTGGGGGAGTGTTATGTTGGCGCTGTGCACTGCTCGATGCCCTCGGAGTACAGCATTTTGCATAGGGGCAGTGCAGGCTTTGGCAGTGATGTCCAAGGAACGGCTTGCAGGGTTGAGGGAAAGATGCCAGGGGCGCTGCACGCTGGGTGGTGAAGGATGCCTGTGACAGGGAACAATATTTAGCATTACCTCTTCTTTGCAGCTGCAAGGCTGCTGGTAGAGGTGTGTTTTATAGGTATACAGAGAACGACACCAAGTCGCCAAGATGTGCTGAAACCCACACTACTAAAAAATGTGCATTGATCCTGCCATTTGACACGTTCATGCACTGAAACGCGTCCCATCTAAGGTGAGTAGTAGGGACTGGTGGTTGGGAGGTGCTCCACACACTGAGATGTGTGCAACTGTTCTGGAGAAAATTGTAGATCAAGTATCTGACAGCGCACAACCTGGCCACAATAGTGCGCCCTTCCCTGGTTTGAAACACCCAAAGATTATCTTTAACAGAAAGGAGGCAAGTGATCCTGTGCAGCACCCATTCCTGAGTAGAAATTTGTGTGAGACCATCTTCCACACAGCATAAGATGTTGCAGCAGTCCCAGTGCAGCTGGGTCAGCAAGCCACAAGCAGCAGCTTGACACCCAAAACGCCCACACTGTGTGCGGGCAGCGCTCCCCCTCTGGATTTGCTGCTTCAAGCACAATACTGCAGTAAATTGATGTCACTGCCAACAGGGTGCAGCGGGCCAGCGCGGGCTAATATGATCCAAAGGACTCAATTGTCAACTATGACATTTGGGCATTGGCCGTGCTTGACTTGCAGAGCCTTGATAGCATGTGAGCGGCAGGCCAGCAGAACAAGTTCCCGCCCACTCCTTCCCTACCTGCCCTGCGAGTGCCATCGCCTTCCCTGCCTGAGCCCAGACAATGCATCCTGGGTTCGCCGACTCCATGAACATTTTTTCACCCCTGTGAGCAATGGTCAGGGCACAGGCCGGAGCATGGAAATCACGCACGCTGGCCTACCCATCGTCCCCATCCAGGTGCGGGGGGTATCGTTCACCCACTGCACAACTGCACCCCATGAAATTGCAGGGATTACCCCATGGAAAGCCAACGCAGGCATCGGTCTGGGCGGCAACAGTGCCCCTAGCAGGAGGAAAGCAAATACAGATTCCTCACAGTGGCCGAATTATTCACAAAAACGCATTCAAGCCTCCGCGCCCCCACCCCACGTCGGTATCCCCACCAACACGAGGTCCAGTCCAACCAGCGCCTCCACCCTGTCCTTCACCGGCACCCGCCCGTGCTCCGGCATCACAGCCAGTTCCCAGTCCCCTCCCGCCCGCAGGTCCGCCCGCGCCATCGCAGCCCCCTGCACCGCCCTCACCCCCGCCTTCGTCCCCACCGACCTCAGCACCACCCGCCGGCCGCGTGACACCCTGGCCGCGATCCACCCCGCCAGCTCGCGCGGGGAAGACTCCCTGGTCACCGCCTTTGGCACCGGGAACCTCATCACGCCCTCAGCATCCCTCGGGCACGGGTCAAGCCGCAGGTCCGCCGATCGCACAAAGAACCTGGCCAGCAGCCCGGCGCCGGGGCGGCTGTCCAGGGACACGAACATCTGTACGGGCAGCGCGTCCCGGTCGTGCAGGATGTAGTTGGCCGTGGCGAGCACCTGCGCCGCCTTGTGCACCGCCCTCCGTCCCCTGGCCTCCACGCAGCATTGCCCGAGCCGGCGGAACAGGCGCGCCACGGCGAGCGCGTGCTTCGCGTTGTCGGAGGTGCCGAACACCTTGACGACCTCCTCGGGGGCCGGGTCAGGGTCCGCCCGCCCGCTGCCGCTGCACTCTTCGACGGCCCATTCTGGGTTGCGAAATCGATCGCCATCTTTGGAGCCGGAGACCGCCTCGGCCGACCGCGCCGCCGCGCTCGACAGGGGCGGCCCGCGGCGCCACGCCCCGTCGACGGCCGGGGCTGGATGGCGTCCCGATCGGATGGCGTCCCGGGGGTTGGATGCGGCGCGCTTTCGGCCCACTTGCGCGATCAGCGTGCGTGGACTGGCGCGCCTCGCGCACGGAGGAGGGTCGATGGTGTCTTTGGCAGCGCGGAGCCAAGGCAGCTCCATGGCCGGCGCCGAAGTCGCCGTCGGACGACGCATGCACCCCCAGGCCGCGTTGGTTTGCCAGGAGCGTTGGTCGAAACTGGGCCACCCGTCTACCCTTGAACATCTTGTGGGTTCTGGGCCCGATGGTCCATTGCATTCTCAGCATTTCCACAATTGTTTAATTGATACGCCGTATGGGTATTGTGGTGAACGGGGGTCGAAGGGACAATGGGAGCGTGTTTGGGGATGTGGGCGATTAGGAAGTGGGGTCCGATCGGGAGGTTAGGTGAGGACTGGGTAGCGGTGCGCAGGTACGGGAGAATGGGGTAGGTACGGGGTAGGGGCCTCAGGAACGCCGGCGGGCGGACGGGTCCAGATAGGCCGGCTCAGAGGAATAGCTGTCGATACGTAGGGACATGTAGCAAAGGGAAGTGTTAGGGAGTTTGGGGTAAGTTCTCGGGATTTCATTAGGATGGGCGCTGCCAGTATGATAGGGGAAGGGTACGCATAACTAGCTTTCGTGCAAAATGTCGGTAAGGTCCGAAAAGGTGCACTTGTGTGCAACATCGCGATTATGTGTTTTTTGGGGCAAAATGGTTGTGCTCCAGATTGTCCATCAGAAAATAAGGAAACTTGTGCGCAACATTGCCATTTCTGAGTGCACTAAAAAATAAGAGTGTGAACGCCTTTAAAACACCAGTTCTCATGCTTTATATCACAAGCTTAAGAAAGTTTTTACAAAAAAAACATGTACAACACGGGTTCCGCTTCTCCCCCCCCCACCGACCCCGCGCATTGATGCACTAGACCCAGTGATGTTTGCCTGTGTTTGTGCGCGCGGCGCGCGCAAAGGTACGCCTTTTTTGTGCGCAATATTGTGGTTTTCTTGTCCGTTGGGTGACCCAAAAAATGCTCTGTTTATGCGTAAGTTCGTTGTTGTGGTGTGTTTCTTGCATTTTGCTTGTGCACAAAATGCATGTTTTGTTGTTTTCCATGACCCCCTTACCGACATTTTGCACAAAAGGTTGTTGCATTTGGACGACGTCCAATGGATGTGTGAGGGAACATGCTGTCGAGCAACCTGGACGCCTTGGTGAGTTGTATAGATTTGGAGCGTACCTATAAATGGCCGGACGGGTTTGTAAACAACGTTGGGGATTACTGACCGCGAAGGTCTCTGGCCATGAGGGCTTGGCTCAACCACGCGATCCTCTGCCAGGCATCCGGAAGAGAGCCGGCCGTTGTGCTACCCAGTCGAGGGTACCGGCGTAACAGTGGTTCCGACGCGGGGACCTTTCTCGCGTGGACGCCGGGGAGGAGCGTGGAGTAGCGATCGGCAGCAGAAGGCTATCCAAGGAGCGATTGGCAATGGGAGGTCGACCAACTAGGGAGTGATTGTGATCGGCAAGGAGTTTGCGTTTGCGTCCGCGCTTCTTTGCGGGAGATGGAGTGATGGGGTGCTGGTTTTCGCGATGCGCGTCACGCCACAACCTTGTCGCCCAAATGGCCGGTAATGGCCCGCGCGGCTGCGATCGGCCGCGGCTTGTACGGGGCGCGCACTCGGTGCACTCCTAGGTGGTGGGTCCAGATCCCTGGAAGGTTGCTGGGGCCGCGGCACAGGAGTCCGGGATGCTGCGAGCTCGGTCGCGCGAGATTGTGGTCCGATCCGCGTGATCCGGAGGCGTTTGCAAGAAACAACGAGCAAAATGGATTACTGATGTCACAACTGCATGTCATTTGTACAGCAGGGCGCACCGCGTCCTGGGTCGCCCGCCGTGAGTCCAAAAACAGCCCAAAACATTCGTGCTTAGTACATCCGTTCCCCAAGCTGGCATAAAGTACCGCAGTTGGCCAGAAATCACCCAAATAAAAGAGTAACTCCTCAGGGCCCTCATCCCATCTACTAGGGCCCTTAATTAAATTTTTAATTAACATAATTAAAGACAATAATGTTCCCAATAAGTGGCCTCAGGGAACAAGGGGAAAAGTCAAAGGGGCAAATGGTCTCCCTATATAATTCCGTCACACTACTCCCCCCTTGGGAAAGTTTTCGCCCTCGAAAACACTGACTCCCATAAATTAGTACATTCTACCATTACCCAACCGTAGACCTAACTATGGTCCTCAATGGGTTTGTCCCGGGCGATCATTTTCCTCAATTCCTTTGGGTGATCGAAATTTTCCTTTGGCACCCAGGAAGCCTCGTCGATTGGCCAGTCCTTCCAAAGGACTAAATATTCTTTGACCCTCCTCTGATTGGGTCCTCTCCAATGCCACCGCAAAAGTTTCTCTACATCATAAGGCTCATTGTCCTCAAGCTCAACCTCCTCCTCTATTTCAGTAATAGTCGCGGATGTCCACCTTGACACTCGGAATGGTCGTAGCAAGCTTGTGTGAAAAATCCTATGGATCTTCCATGAAGTAGGAAGATTTAATTCGTAGGCCACTGGTCCAACTCTACGGGTCATGAAGAATGGACCCACGAATCTCTTCCTTAGCTTGCTAACAGGTGCGTTCTTCAATGTCAAATGTTGTGTACTGAGAAGCACCTGATCTCCACTATAGGACACCTGCTCTCTTTGCCGCTGGTCGGCGAGGGACTTCTATCGTTGTTGAGCCTGATGGACATACTGCATTGCCCTCTTGAATGTCTTCTACATTCGGGATATAAAAACATTGACACCCTTGATGCGTATGTTGTCTGCATCCCAAATCAAGTCGATGGGTGTACACGGCTTATAACCGTAGTTCAAGTAGAATGGTGTGTGTTGTGGGGCTCTTTTAATGGCCTCCACTGATCCCTTTTCTCCGGCACGTGTCCCACTTCATCTGCCTGCACCCGGTCGGG